CCAACTATATATATATAGATATATATTTCCCTCAGTCCTAATGCCAAAAATGATGCAACAAACATTAACTATGCCCCATCTGGCTCGTAATTTGACCTTTGACTTCAACTGTCAGTTTAGCAGAACGACAGTTTACGAGCCAGATCTCCTGGATTAATTGACACCCCCCCAGCCTTATACAAGCGGAAGTGTCAAGATCATACGCAGTCTAATCAATATTGCTTGAAGCTCAATTGGTACAAGGACCACTGTGACAAACAGAGGGGATTTTAAGGTGAGTTTGAGAGGTGGCAGTGAGTGTTGTTTGACTTTGAGCCCTGTTTTCTTTTAAAGTGGTGAAGTGATGCATGATGAGTATCTGTCAAACTATGAGCTAATGTGATCCTCCTATTTACATTGGTTATAATATTGTTATAGATATAGATTATAGATAGAGGTTTTGATTGTGCTATGAGATGCAAGTTGTGCTAAAGGTGAGAGGCTGTCAGGAACATTCAGCCACGGCTGCAGTCTGTGCTGCCCTCTTGTGGCTCATGTGCTTTTCATAACAGCAAAACAAGATTTGCAGGAAAACTCAGTAATAACTTCAATCTAGTTTAGACACACAATGATTGGCATCAAGCTAACCAGAGAAGTATATTATGGTCCTTTCTGTGGGAAAACCATCTTCAGCGCTGACCTCATCCCAGCAGAAATGATCGTTTGCTTCCAGTGACATAAACCCCATCAAACACACCTGTTTAGATTACGGCAGAATGTGAGAGGAAGTGGCTCAGGTGGACTTTAACTTGTGATGCTTTTGCTGTTGTTGAGCGCTTTTGTGCTGTAGGTCTAGGTAAGGTCGGAGGAATGTGATGATGTCAGGCTGCGTGCTGCAGTGAACGAAAGCAGTGAGTTGTGTTTTCACCTGCACAAGCACATACCTGCCCCCTTACCTTAGCAGAGCAGGAGGAGGGCAAGTCGAGGGGGAGAGGCAAACTAAGATTTAAAGAGCGGAAGATATTTTAAAAGGAGCTTTGATGAAAGCAAAAATCTGGACTTAAATACATGGAAATCCCAAACTTGTCAGTTTTCTTTTGATGGATTTAGTTGGACGATTAAATAAAAAAATAAAAAAAGTTTTATCTCTGGAATCAAAAGTGTAGGTTTAGCTGGAAAGAAGGATTTTAGGATTTACCAGATTAAATAATATCTATGCTAAAACATACTGTTATTTATTTAGCATCTTCCAACATCATGAAAACTGCCAAAAATGTCACAATATCCCTGTTGGCACCGGATAATAAATTTAATTGAATAATGTTATTAAAAGAGAAGTTGGATTGTTGTGGTGTGTATAATCAGTAAACAATAATTAGTCAGCTGGCAGTAATCCCCCCCCCCCCCCCCACTCCCTGCACTGATTCTTATTACAGCTTTGACACCCTGTTGTGGTTGTGCAGTGTTGTCCATTATGTTGTGGAGCTTGTGCAGCATTCTCCGTGTTACAGTACGCTCCCCAGCACAGAAACAATTTGTTCATAATGTGTGCATAATTATCTGTTTTGGCCTAATAAATAATGTCTATTGAAATATTCCAAAAAGTATCATTGGATGTACAACTACTAATTACCTTTGGAAGCTAATACAATTCAAAATGGCTACCATAGTCAACTAATTAAAAAAACACAAACATGGCTATAAGTGTCTCAGTTTTACAGATATTGGGTTAAAATTTGGTGTGCTCGTAGCTAAGAGTTACTGCATGAGATCTTTGTTAAAACTTTAACATTAACTGTTCGAGTCAACCCAGTGTTTCTATATTTCTATCAAAATACGTCATGAACCACTAAACAGATTTTAATGAAACTATCAAAAGTAATCATTGAATGTACGTTTAATAATGATTAATTTTTGGAGTGAATCCATTTCAAGACTGCCACCACTGGTCCACATTAGCCAACAAAAAGTTGCTATAACTCCATCACTTTTGCAGCTATTGAGCTAAAATTTGATGTAGTAATAAAGCTGAACGATTTTGGAAAATATTTTAATAGTGATTTTTTTTTTCCCCTAAATATTGCGATTACGATTTATTACGCAATATTTTTTTTTTGTCTTTTTCTCTTGTATTTTTCAACGAACACAAGCAATAAATCTGTTTCAGTTGTAACAAACTCCACTGTTTTCAGCTCCGTAGCATCTCTGTTTCTACATGTTTTGTATAGCTCTGGGATAGCAACTTGGCTAAGGCATTCTGTACCGCGTATCCATTGTGTTTACCAAAGTCATAAACCCAGGCTTGGTCACTATATTAATGGGCTCCATCATGTCTTTTGCTATGAGCTCAGTTATTGTTTGAGTTATTTCCACGGGCCGTTTCGAATTCTGTTCATACAGAGTAATACCTTCTAACAGTTCGGTCAGTGATCCCTGTCGGCTGCTACTTTGCTTACTTGAAGTTGAAGCGCTGGTCGTTGGCATTCTAGCCATGCAACTAAATGACTTTGTGGTGTTTTTTCAAGTCTTCATAAAGATTTGTGGTGTTACCTTGAGAGGTAGCAACAACAGCAAGGCAGGTTCTGCACAATACGACGTTGCGCAGCGTCTTCTTTTTTATAGCCAAAATAATTCCAAACAACGGACGTGCTGCTGGTGCCCCTCTGTGGTACCAAACTTTCAGATGTATCAGCTTCTGTCGAGCCTGACGCTATTGTGCAACCGGTTAAAGCGCAGTGTTGACTTCTCCTGCTCCCTGCTCTGATTTGCTCCACTCACTCGCAAGTCACATAACCAGATCATGTGACCAGTCAAATTACAGCCTTCGCGATTAGAAAATCTAATTTTTATCATATCACAATATTATTGCAAATGCAAATTGTTCAGCCCATGTGGTAGTAGCTGAGAGTCATTCACAACACATCTTCTGAGCTTCAAATCTTGCAATATCAAATGGCATGGCTTAGAAGGAAACACTACACCTAAAGGACACTTTGAGGACCAGAATGTTCATATTTTAGGCAAAGACAGATGATTTGAAAGAGGGTAAAGGGACTCATGTCAACTTGGAAAAAAAACTTTAAACAGAGGAAAAGATCACATTTACAGCTTTCTAAAACTTATAATAGAGCATTAAGGTTCTGTTTATACAGTGCTGTTTTTATGTGAAACCGTAGTATTTTTTTGCTGCTTTTTGGTAATTTGTATATACGTCAGCAGTTGTTTTCTCTGACACAGAAGCTTTTTGGATTCAGGTCTGAGCAGAAGGTTTTGGAAACGCCTAGTGTCTGTAAAATTGTTCACGTGCACTACAATCGTCTGCCACCAATAGTTTTTCTGGGCTTGCACAAGTACCGGTACATGAACAACAATGGCGGAAGCAGAGTGCTGTTTGTGTTGCTTACCCTTTTTCAACATGTAGGAGCAAACCAACCTAATCCTTGGTCCAAACAAATGTTTGTGCATTCATCATTTTGGATGTAACTGCATTCATGGTCAACACTGAAGTGTCTGGGTGCATGCCTGTGCTGCAAAAATACAATAATCATAGTACCAGCTACTTACCAGGCATGGAGACTAGCAGATTCAACAAGCATAGCAATAATTGTGTAAAAGTATGACTTTTACACAATCTGCATTGGGAAAATGCTAACATTTCAAGAGATTAATCACTTTTAAACAGAGCTTAAGGTTTAGGTTTATTGGTCATATGCAGTTCAACACAAGGTCAACAATGCAATGAAATGCTCAGGATGAGAATAATCGTCTTGACTCACCAAAAAACAACAAGAAATACCGAAGCATGCAACAAAAAAACTAAAACAAGGCTCCAAAAGTGAAAAAGAAATAAATCTACAGCAGCATGGTCCTATTAGCAGCATAGTTCTGTTAGCAGTGAGGTTCTCTTAGCATCAGAGTCCTGTTAGCACCATGGAAGCAGTGAGGTTCTTTTAGCAGCATGGTACTGTTAGCAACATGGCTGTGTTAGCAGCATAGTCCTATTAGCAGAATGGTTCTGTTAGCATTATGGTCCCGTTAGCAGCATGGTACTGTTAGCAGCATGGTTCTGTTAGCAGCATAGTCCTATTAGCAGAGTGGTTCTGTTAGCATTATGGTCCCGTTAGCAGCATGGTACTGTTAGCAGCATGGTTCTGTTAGCAGTGAGGTTCCCTTAGCATCAGAGTCCTGTTAGCACCATGGTACTGTTAGCAGCGCGGTTCCGTTAGTAGCATGATGATGATGATAACCGCGGCAACTGACGATGACTACCCTGACCTTCAGAACCAGGTCCGGCAGACACAGAACATCCAAGGTTTCCCAGCGGCATTGAACTGTTCCGTAGAGTTCGGTGTGCAGGCAGATGGAGGATCATGGAGACAGCCGCCATGACAGGCTGGAGCCTGAGGTTGGAATGGGGGCCGGGAACTGAACCACCAAGGCAGGATGGCAAGGCAGCAACACACACTTTTGCAGACAGATGTTGGAGGGGTGTTGACAGAGTGCTACGTTAGTGGCAGTTGTCGACTGTGGGGTGGGGGGTTCGTGAAGGACATTTTGGTAGGCAGGGTGCTCGGTTCTATTGACAGGGCAGGACGCCCTCCTTGGATAACGGTAGAGGAAACACTGCAGCAGATACAGAGGAGCAACGTCTGTACTTGGTGCAAGCCCCCCCCCATTATGAACCTCTCACTAAGGCTGAGCCCGACCGCCCTACGAAGGAAGCTCATTTCAGCTGCTTGCATCTGGGATCTCATTCTTTTGAACATTATATTTAACTCACTGAAAACAAAACTTCATAGTTTTGGTCTAATTATTTTGAAAATTATAGCTAATTTTGTTGTTGTTGTTTTGTTTACAATTTAACTCCTGAAATATGAATATTTATTTAGATTAAATACGAGTAATAGTTTAACTGCTGAAATTGGGACGTTTTCAATATTTTGAAATATCAAACGATATTTTTAGTAAGAACTGTAACTGTATTAATACCTGAGGTTTGAGATGAGGACCCAGCATGCATGTGTAGGGGACACCACAAGATAATGGTTTTAAACATTTTATCTGGACCTAGTTGCCAGATTGTTTCCCGCCCCACCTTTAGAGGTGTGACACAGGATGTTAGTGCACGTTAAATGGTGTGTTCGCTTTACTTTCTGAATGGCCTGTGAGGGTGTAGCAGAGCAATTACTGCACTGGCGTACCAAACTGGAATCTGCAGAGCCTCTCCTTTCACCCTCCACAAATCCGTGCACACACACACTGCCGATCGGAAGTCGCAGGGACCGGAGTGCCCCCAAAAAAGCACTGGGAAGTGTAATTACAGAGAAGTACATCCACCCCACCCCAACCCCCCTCTGCTCTCGCTCCTCCTCTCTTCTCCCTCCGTCCGGTTGCCTGCTGCTCTGCAAACACGTTAAAATGCTTTCTGTGGCTTAATTAGCAGCCTGCACAACAAGCCATGCATTCTTGGTCTGGTTTCAGCACATGCACGCGTTCAGGCACATATGCACGCACCGTAACTCGGTGATCATGACAGGATGTCGTCAGCAGGGGGCAGCAGAGGGCTGTGGTGCAGGTTGGATCTGGTGGAGCAAAGCATCTGTTGAGTTGGCTCTGCTTTCAATGTTTGATTGGAGATATATTAAAGTTCTTCAGATATGTTACATTAAAACACACACACACACCGACACATAAAGATTTAGATGAAATACGTTAGAGAACACAGCTTGCTGGTCCTCCAGCAGCAGAATCGGCGGCACTTTTAACTTCCTGTCCTGCTAGATGAGCGGAAGTCGTAAAGACATTGAACATATCCAGCAGCTTCTGCTCTCTGCACCTGGCTCGCTCCTTTACCACTAACACCCCACCACCCCCTTTTACTTAAAACATGCACACACTTACCTCATCCACAGTCCTCAGCAGCTTGGGCATCCAAACTTACTGAATCAGGCTGGTTTTCCCCCATTTCTTCAATCACCACTGGTAGTTTGCCTGGTACTTTTACACTAAGGCCTAGTTCCTTATATATAGATCCTATAAGAGATATTTGGGTAATTGACAGAAGATTTATTGGCTATAATTGTCATATTGTAATTAATTGTATATCCATTTATCAGAAAATTGGTCTTTTCTTTGCAAAAGCACGACTAGTTGTTCTTAAAAAGTTCTGCTTTTGAAGATGTGACAAGCACTTGTCTCACGTCTTGTGACTGGGCCTTATGAAGTTCAAGCTGTGTGTGTGTGTATATTTGTGCTTTTGAGCGTGCAAAGAGCTTTGGTGTCACCGCCTGAGCAGCAGGTAAGATTATTAAGGCTCAGCTATAAAAGTCTCGGGGACCACCTTTGTGGACCACCTCACTTTTAAGTGTGCGCAAGCTTGTTTGAATTCTGAAACGCTGCCACTCTCTTATTTATTTATTATTTTCTTGCCGTTTCAGTTTGGGAAGTTGTGTAGGAGTGTGGTTTGCAGCAGCAGTGGCTTTTGTTTAGTTTTTTCCTCGTTTTGGCTTGTTGTCTTGTTTGCTGGTCTGCCTTGGCGTTCTTCTGCACGGTGGGAAGTCTGCATTCTTTTTGTAATTATGAGGTGTGAAAGCTTGGGTGTGAAGGCCAACACACACACACACACACACACACACACACAACTTTGGAATTATTTGAAATGAGCACTCTGGAGTCTGCATTAGTGAATTGCAATACATCTGCAAATGATTAAAAATGCAGCTGTCATTATGTGACACAAATGCCTTGGCATACACTTATATTTTTTTGTCTTGGCCTCCCATCGAGTGTTCCCCTGCTGAACGCTTGATGGCACTGGTAGTTCGCAGATGCAGTGTTTTCATGCACACTTGCTCCTGTTCTCTGTGGGCTGGGACGTTAGGCTTTGAAGTTGAGGCTGATAGCCCCGAGCAGTGGAAGTTACATTGTGTTGTGTTTCTGACTTGGCTAGTCAGTTGGAAAAAAAAAGTGTGTGTGAGTTTTGACTGCACTATGAACATTCATCCTAGCTCCCTTCCTCTTTCTTTGAAAGTGACTGAGCAGCATATGACAGAAAGACTTTGCTTTTAAATGACAGAAAACATGTTTGTAAGAGTATCAATCCACTATTATGAAAGCATTATGCTTTACAATATAGTTCATTCCAAAGAAGCTAGTGTGGGAAACTTCTTGGAATCTGTCAGCCTGTCTGGCAGGAAGAACATTTATGACTCAGCTACATGCTAAAGCATTCAAACAGTTCCCCTCCACAGGGAGAGGTGATTATTCTGATCGTTTATTTCTCTCTCAGACACAGATCCGCGGGTCCTGGAGAAGCAGGAGCAACAGCAGCCCACTTACCTGGCCCTAAGCTACATCAACAGGTATGCAAACCAGCTTGAGAAGTGTGCGTCTACAGAGGGCAGAATCGCACCACCCTTCAAAAGTTCCAGTTTATCTGAGTTCATGTGACTCGGTGAGAAAATCGTGAATGACTGATGACTTCCCATAGACCCAGCAGCGGTGACTCATTCACAAACATGCAAACAAAACCGCACAAGGCAATCACTCTCGGCTCCCTGATGTGCCACAGGCAACGTTTTAAAAAGCATACACAGGTGTGTTTCTGCGTTTGGGGAATCGACGTGTCACATCCCATTTAATGCACTGTCAAATCACTACAAGATGCAACTTTGAAGGAGACAACAGTAAATCAAAAAGAGATGTTGAGATGTCTTTTTTGTAATATATTTCTAAGTGGTGAGGCTGTAAATGTCATCTTTATTTATTGTCAGGACGATTGTTTTATGGCACAAGTCACAGCTTTTTTAGGTAACAGTTTACAGAACAGCAAAAAGAAGAGCTGAGACGACGACATCGAGGCTGATACCGGTAAACTACATTAAATAACTATTAACGCGGGTATTTTTATTTCCATTGTTTGATGGGATTCAGCTAAGTATAAAATTAATGCACAAGTTATAAACTGTCAGTGCAGCAGACATATTGTTTTATAAACCTTTTATAACCAAGGGAAGGAAGAAACCAGCAGGACTAACCCAGTTCAAACCACATATTGTAATCTAAAGGTGCAGAAAAATAAAATGTTAAGGACTCAAAGGTGCAAAATGTACTATCAAAATAAAACAAAAAGGTGCAAATGTGCACAAAAAAAATCAGTCGAGAGACAGGAGCATTCAGTTATTTAAGAGACTGATGGCTGATATTAGTACATTTTATACATATAATCATAGTTTTATTTGAAAAAAAAAAAAAGATGATTAATTTTATGGAGGTCGTTCAGTTTATATATGACCAGTAATCATGGGAGAAAGTAATAACTTCCTTGTTCAGTTGGACTCTAGAGAAATTTAGTAAAGACAACTTTAAGGTGAGCTTAATCATCACAAGGTGTCCAGGTCCTGTGGCTGTAAAACAAGCCCACATCAGCACCCCTCCACCTCCGTGCTTCACAGTTGGTGTTTGTACTGACCTGCTGTATGGTTTAGACAAACAGAGCACTGTACTATATGATCAAACGTCTGCACTTTGGTTTATCTGTCTTAAGAACAGCGTCCCAGAAGCCTTGTGGTTCATTCAGATGAACCTTTACCAACCCAAGTTGTTATGCTGCCATGTTCTTTTAAGAGATATGAGGAAAACTCTCCAAGCTCTTCCAAACAAGTCATACTTCATATTTTTTCAATTGTCCTGTTGTGAACTTTAACATTTAGCATGCTAACTGAGGCCTGTAGAGACTTAAGATAGAGCCCTTGGGTTTTTGCAGTTTTTCTGAGCATTGCACAGTCTGACCTTGGGGTGAATTTGCCATGGCATCCACTCCTGGGAAGATTGGCAGCTGTCTTAAATCTTTCTCTCTGTAGAATGATGGACTTTGTTTTGAATTGGCCTTTTAACCCTTCCCAGGCTGATGGGCAGAGTTATGTTCTGACGTGTAAAACTCTAGAACTGGGGGGGGGGGGGGGGGGGTGTTTTTCCCTCGACTCTAGTTAGCTTACATAAACGAGCAATGGTTTTACACAGAGGGACTTCGTGTATCAGCCTGTTATTACCTATAAATGGTGCTATGGAATTGCAAAAAAAGGTCTTTCTAAACTGGTATTTTAAGAAAAATGCCAAATTGAAAAATCACCATCTTGTCCACCTAATCGGTCCGTTCACCACACGAAGAGATTTCTAATGAAATAACTGAATTATTCAAAGTAGTTTCTTTGCAGGGATAAATACAAACTTTTACTTACCGGTATGTTTATTATAATCTCATATAAAGATTATGTATTTTATGCACAAGTACACCCTATTCTGCAAATGTAAATGTTAGGGATGCACGATATTGGATTTTTGACCGATATGTTAAAACTTATTTGGCTGATAACCGATACCAATATTTTTGATATATGTTCCTTTGTCAGAACATATTCCTCTTATTTAGGCTTATTTGCTACAAAAAAATTGTGCACCAGCTGTAAGAGCTGGTAACATATATTTAGTAACAGCCATATGATATGCATAGCACTTTAACTTATATTAAATGAAAAGTGTTAAATGTTATTTATTAGCATTAGTCACCTGCGATGCTGTCTCACTTGTGGAGGCTTGTTCCAGGTTCCTAGCTGCAGTGTGGGATCCTCTGCACTCTTAATCATGAAGGACAGACTTTTTAAATTCAAAGTTCTTGTTTCTCCATTGTGCCGTAAGACTTAATCATGCTAACGGGGCTAACACTTGATATCTGTGGTAAAACCCACCCAAGTGCTATCGTCTATTAGCTTCTCAATGACGTTGGAAATGATGGTTTGTAACTCGGGTAAGGCTACATCAGAAAAATATCTCTGACTGGGGACGATGTAGCGAGGCTCAACGTAGTCCAAAAATCTTCAGAATCCAATATCCTCAATGAAAAAAAAACTTCCACACTGCTGACATTTTGACTTCTTCCTCTCCATCGTGAGATCAGGTAGACGCACGTGATGTCATCACGTTGTGCTGCCGCTGCAGGCATCATTGTCACTTGGTTGTCATACAAAAACAGCGTCTTTTATATCAGTGTTATTTTGATGGAATGGCCAATAGTGAACTTTAACGCTAATATCAGCCGATACCAATACCACGTCGATAATATCGTGCATCCCTAGTAAATTTAGCTCCAGGCACGTATTTTGAACCTCGTCAGGTTATGATGTAAGACAACAACAAAACGAATACACAACAAACATCAGTGACCTGCATATTTGCATGCATCGGCACCCTGAAACCTGAATGAGTGAACGGGACTCGTGTTTTCCGTCAGGTTTATGACGGACGCGGCGCGCCGGGAGCAGGAAACCATGAAGAAAAAGGCCACACCCAAGCTGTCCCTTTCCATCACGGGCGGAATGTCCAGGAACAGCACGGCCACGCCCCCCCGCCACACCAGCGGTAACCTGACGCCTCCCGTCACGCCCCCCATCACCCCTTCCTCCTCATTCCGCAGCAGCACGCCTACAGGTACGACAGGTGTTGTAGTGAGACATGCGTTTGAGGGGAAGAAAGATGGATTGCTCATACGTGTGGAGTGTAGAAAGTGACTAATGCAAATAAATCCTGTTGGCAGTTGTGCTCACAGTTATGAATACGCCATCGGGAGCGTGGTTTTGAGAATCACAGTCTTCTAAATGAAAATGTTTGGAACGCAAATGGAATGCAGCCTATTCTTAAGCCTACTCATATAAGCCAGAAGCCATAAGTTGTGACAGGAGAGCACAACGCAGGTCGCCGTATACTTTAATACAATAATTCAATCACGAAATAGATGCAGCAGTTTTTTTTCTTCTTCTTTTTAATCAAAAGCAGTGGAGAAGGATTTCATCCAGCTTTCCAAAAAACAATATTTAAAGCAGGAAAATGTGTTGTAAGAGTGGAAGAAGGAAAGCCCACCTAATATCTCCTGCAGTGTGTGTGTAGGTGTGTGTGTGTTGGTTTTGGTGGCTCCTGCAGTGAGCAAACCAGTCAACACTTTGCTAATTACATAGCAGCTGCCACGCTGTGCGTTTGCATGGGGCCGAGTGTTGCACAGCCCAGAAGCAGATGTCCAATTTGAGCCCAAATGGTTCCAAACGTAGTGTTGGGCCTGGGCTTAACGCACGCACACACAAACACACACACGCTCTTTCAACATGTGCCAGGGTGCCATCCATTTCCTCATGCTGAGGTGCAGCATTTCCTGTTAGAAGGCGGGGGTCAGTGGGCCCTTGTGTCTGCCTGAACATTTCAGTTATGTGGTATGAGGATGCTGGTGTGTGCATACGTGCGTGCACACATGCGAGTGGAAAATATTCTGCTCTGAGCAAAGCGCTTTTTCCAGGCTGAGCAATGGAGATCACTCCCACTTAATTATCCCCTTCTGAGCGCCAATCCCTGCGTTCTGGCTCGCAGGCACACAGACACAAGCACAACATATTTGTTTTGTCTGCCTTCAGTGGCATGTGGCCTACTTATGCATTGAATTAGCAACAGAAAATAGAGAAAGGCTTTAATAAATAGCCACATATAATTTCTGTGTATGGCAAATCCTAATGGCAAGATGTTCTTCTGGCTGTGGCCCCGTCCACATATCATATAAGATGACAAACGTTTTCTTTGTTCTGCGCGGCTCCAACGCGCCTTTAGGCAGCGAGTATGATGAGGAGGAGGTAGACTACGAGGAGTCGGACAGCGATGAGTCATGGACCACAGAAAGTGCCATCAGCTCTGAGTCCATCCTGAGCTCCATGTGCATGAACGGGGGCGAGGAGAAGCCGTTCGCCTGCCCCGTCCCCGGGTGTAAGAAGAGATATAAGGTAAGGTTCGAGAGGATTAAAAAGTCAAGTCCAGTTACAGGACATGAAGTTTCATCTGTGGTGAAATCTACACTGAAGCTCTTTATCTGGGCGTCACATGTCCGGGGCATTATGTTGGGAAAAAGCACTGAATAAATCCCGACTGTCACGATTGGAACAGTGATAAATTTATCATGGTATTTGCTTTGGTTGATATTTATTGGTGCTTGGAACAAGAACCTCATTCAGCTCACCGTCCAAGCTTCTTAACTATTAAACAATGTTTCAACTTTATTCTTTAATCTCACATTTAGGCCACGCAGGAAGGCTCATAAATCAGAAATACGATATCCACCTCAAGATGGTACAAAATGAACTGTTGTGATATGAACAGTTATAGATTTGCTGATTGACTGGAATCAAATGATTTTTCAATTGAACACTGGCCTGCATTCAAAAACTTTATTTTTTACAACCCAACTTTTTTACTGGATTCGAACACCTCTGGGAAAAGTGACATAATTAAATCTAGGTGTTTAATTTGCGAGACATATAATTTATAAGCAGGAGGAAAAGAAAGCCATCAAACCATTAAATGTTTTCTTTTTTGCTACATATCTGTATATTTTAGACACTTAACAGTTTAGGGTTTTGTAGAAAACATGTTTGTATTGTTTATCAATTATTTTTTATTGAACTGTGTTTAAGAAAAAAAAAAGGTTAAGTATTTACTTTTAAAGTTAAAGGTTTAATAAAGAAGAAATGTTATTTCTTCTGTTGTGTTTGTACAAATATCAAGGTCCTGGTGTTGATTCTGAGGAGGTTTTTTTCTCTTAGAAAAGTTTCATCATAGTCAGACTTTCAGGTCAACCAGAAATGATAAGAACGCAAACTTTGTATGACAATTGGTAGTTTTTAGGAAAAAAAATAATCATCTAAAATGAGAATTGTCCTAGAATACGGCAATCAAAGCACTTTTACAGCCACTAACAATATAAAATCCTGACAAAAATACAGTAGTCCCTCGTTTATCGCAGGGGATCCGTACCCTGAAGACCCGCGATAAGTGAAAAACTGCGAAGTAGGAATAGTAGTACAAGTTAGGCCTGTCACGATAACAAATTTTGCTGGGTGATTAATTGTCTCAGAAATGATTGCGATAAACGACAATATTGTTTGAACTTTGACAATAGTGAGTAATTATTGTCAAATTTTAGGAGAAATGTTTGTTAATTTGTTTTGCATGTACACTAGTACCTTTTTTCAACCACCAGATGGCAGTATAAGACTGAACTGAAGGGTGGATAGTAAGGGAGCGAGCAGAGTGTGTCTAAGAAAAATGTGAGGGAGGCTCCTTGACGTGACATGGGCTGTCTTTCATCGGTTCTCAAAATGGTGGACGCTCGGTGTGTTTTGAGCTCTTTAGCATAGCATTTTTCACACAAAG